TTAGATATTGATGAAAAAGGTAAAATATTATTTGGTTTAATATTTTAAAAGAATAAGTTTTCAATTAATTAACAGTAGACATTATTTATACAATTGCAATCATTTTTAATAAAATAAATGTATTCTTATAGGTAACTACTKTATTGAAAAATTTAGTTGTGATGTATCAAATTTCATCAAAATTAATATTCAAAATCTGAATATACAGATGATATTATAAAGTAATTTTATTTTGCATTTATTACAGGTTTACTTGACAATGAAGATTTAAAAATTGACTCTGCTAACATATTATGGCCAAATGATCCAGCATTATATCCTGATTCTGTATCTCATACCCTTCTCTCTCATTTTGTGGAACTCGGGCCTTGTCAGCCTACCATGAGCAGTTTTAAAAATAACGAATTTCCAAAATCCAAGGATTCTACTGGAAAGTTWAGATCATTTCATGAAAACTTTTATTTTTGTAAAACGTTACATGATCAAACTCCAGTCAAACGTTTGTGGTTGTGTTATTCTCCATCTAAAGACAGAATATTTTGTGGGACATGTAAATTATTTGGATTACCTAAAGCTAAAAAACAAAAATTAGCCTCTATTGGTTCTAATGATTGGACTAATTTGAGCAGAAATATATCACATCACGAAAGCCTTCCAGAACATCTACAAGCAGAGATAAATCAAAGCTTATACAATAAAAATACTAGAATAGACACTAAAATGTTACATAGCGCAAACCAAAAAGTAGCAGAAAATCGTGCCATTGTAAGTGTTATAATTGAAGTTCTTTTGTTTGCTGCCCGGCAGAACATAGCCATTAGAGGGCACAATGAAACTTTACAGTCGCTCAATAGAGGTAACTTCTTAGAATTGATAACTCTTATTAGTAAATATCATCCTACATTGAAAATTCATTTGAATAAAATTCAACATAACTTAAATGTAACACAAACAACATTTCTATCTAATAAGAGTCAGAATAAAATTTTAAATATTTTATGTGAAATCATACGCTCAAAGATTTTATTACAAGTGAAAGCAGCTAAAATATTTTCTGTCATTATTGACACTACAACAGATGTATCAAATACAGAACAATTGACATTTTTATTGAGATATGTAGATAATAAAGGTGTTATTCAAGAACGATTAGTGGCTCTTGAAACAGCACCCGATGGTACTGGTAAAGGTATGTTTCAAACATTTTGTTCAATTACTGCCAAATATAACATAAATTGGAAARAACATTTATGTGCTCAGTCTTTTGATGGAGCAGCTTCAATGCAAGGGGAATATACAGGACTACGAACACTTATCCAAAAAGAAAATCCCAAGGCTATRTACGTTTGGTGCTTTGCACATTTACTAAATTTAGTAATTGTTGATACTTGTGATTGCTGCACAGATACAAAAAACTTCTTTGGTAATGTTCAAGCCTTAGTCGCTTTTATGAGAGCTAGGAAAAGGACTGCACTCTTTTTAGATTATCAAAAACTAATGTACCCTAATGATCGCATACATCGAATGAAAGGTTTCTCAAGTACAAGATGGACCTCGCATGGTTCTGCTATTAATGTAATATATAATAAATTTGATGCATTAGTTGAAGTTTTAAATAAATWAACTCTAAGTTCTGACCGTATTACAGCATCAACAGCTACAAATATTTTACCGAGTATTACTAATTTTGCATTTATTATTTCTATGATACTTTTGAGACGCATTTTTGATATAACAACACCTTTATCAAATTA